ATCCGATGCCTATCCAAAACTCACCCGAGCCCTCGGGGCTCCAAACCAAACATGCACACAACCTCAAAAGCATCCCGCAGACTTACTCGCGCGATCAAATCGCCAAAATAACATTATGTTCATAAAATCAAGCCTCAAAACTCATGATTTTCTTCTAAACTTCATAAACTTCCACTTTAGATATTTAGGTCCGAAACACGTCAAATGACGTCCGATTTCGACCAAACTTTACAGAAAGCGCTTAAACAATATATAAGACTTGTTCCGGGTGTCGGAACCAAAATACGAACCCGATACCACAGTCTTTTAATCAATTTTCATTTCCAATTTCCTTAATAATTTCAGAAAAATAATTTCACAGAAAAATTCTTTCCTCGGGCTCTAGACCTCGGAATTCGACTCCGGGCACATGCCTGAGTCCCATATTTTTTTACGGACCTTCCGGGACCGTCCAATCTCGGGTCCGGGTCCGTTTGCCAAAAATATTGACCAAAGTCAACTTTAATCATGTTAATATAAAATTCTTCAAATTTTTCTCGGATTTCACGGATTTCAACATAAAAATTTTTCGGCTACGCGCCCGGACTGCGCATGCAAATCGAGGCAAGTAAAAATGAGGTTTTCAAGGCCTCGGAAGCACGGAACGAGTGAGAAAACAGGTGATGACCCTTTGGGTCGTCACATGTTCGCTTTGTGGATTCGACAAGTAAAAGATTCGCTTCAAATACTTGACTTCATAATTAGTAAGTATTGTGAAAACAATATTCATCACGCTAGTTAGACACAGTAGAATACCTATGAATTTATTGGATTCACCGATGTGGATTCAATGATAAAATCCAAACTTAAGAATTATATTTGGAAGAATACCGTTTCAAATTTTCATTGGAATTATAAACATGAGGTTCGTTAATCACCAAATTGATCGAATCATTATGAATAATTAAATCCAAAATAATGATTTGTTATACCCAATTACCCATAAGTTTTGATGTTTATAAACGACATGATGGATATTTTATATGAGTAAATTGAAGTTCTTGATTATAAGACATTTATGAATCGCCCAAAGGTTGATTGTTTGTTCTTATAATTACTGAACATTAAATCGATAATTTAAATGTATCGTTAGTTTTATTTATTTATCCAAAGATAGTAAATACTACTAACTTGTACGTTAAAATTATCGAATTATGTAAAATTTATTTTAAGCATCATTATGTTAAAAAAATATATTTTGTGTTACACCCAAAGGTGGACATCAATATACATTTAAGAGTAAAACATAAACCATTCTGAATTTAACGATATATTTAATTTTAACTCAAAGCATTAATGAATGGGCATATTTTATTTGCAGCACTTGCTCTTCATTCGCACTCCGCTTCTGTTACGACCTTTAACGGACTCAACTTCTCAGATTGGTGCGAACAGATAAAATTCCATCTTGGAGTTTTAGATCTTGATGTTGCACTTTATACTGAGAGGCCAACAGCTATTACTGAAACTAGTAATACTGAAGAAAGGTCCTACTTTAAGCACTGGGACAGGTCTAACAGATTAAGCCTAATGTTTATACGAATGAATATTGCGGGCAACATTAAGACTACTTTTCCCAAAACTGAAAGCGCGAAAGAACTTCTGAAACTTGTGGAAGAATGCTCTCAAACTGCTGATATGTGACGACCCAAAGGGTCATCACCTATTTCCTCATCCATTCCGTGCTTTCGAGGCCTTAAAACCTCATTTTTTTGCTTGCCTTGATTTGCGTGCGCAGTCCGGGCGCGTAGCCGGAAAGCTTTTATGTTGAAATATGTGAATTCCGTGAAAAAATTTGAAGAATTTCGATATTAATATGATTATAGTTGACTTTGGTCAACATTTTTGGTAAACGGACCCGGACCCAAGATTGGACGGTCCCGGAAGGTCCGTAGAAAAATATGGGACTCGGGCATGTGCCCGGAATCGAATTCCGAGGTCTAGAGCCCGAGATATGAATTTTTCCGTGAAATTGTTTTTCTGAAATTATTAAGGAAAATGGAAATGAAAATTGATTAAAAGACTATGGTATCGGGCTCGTATTTTGGTTCCGACGCCCGGTACAAGTCTTAAATATGTGTTAAGCGCTTTCTGTAAAGTTTGATCGAAATCGGACGTCGTTTGACGTGTTTCGGACTCGAAATGGAAATTTGAGGCTTTATGAACATTTCAAAGAAAATCATGAGTTTTGAGGCTTGATTCTATGTATATGATGTTATTTTGGCGATGTGATCGTGCGAGTAAGTCCGTAGGATGTTTTTGAGGTTGTGTGCATGTTTGGTTTGGAGCCCCGAGGGCTCGGATGAGTTTTGGATAGGCATCGGAGTGCATTTCTCATGTTTTGAAAAATCTGGTATTTGGCTTCTGCAATTTTCGCAAATGCGAAGCCAGGGTTCGCAAATGCGAAGGCCCAGCTATCGCAAATGCGAAGGCTGGTTCGCAAATGCGAAACCAGCCCAGGTAGACCAAGCTTCGCAAATGCGAAACCAGGCGTCGCAAATGCGATGGACCCTGGTTCGCAAATGCGAGACCCAATTCGCAAATGCGAAGGGTCCCCTGGCAGCTTGAATTCGCAAATGCGAAAAAATAGTCTCGCATTTCCCAGGCCTGCATTGTTCGCAAATGCGAACCTATGTTCGCATTTCCCATATCCGAGGCCCAGCAAATTTTATACTTAGTCGAATTTTCATCACTTTTCACCATTCTTTCAAAACCCAAACACCATAGGCGAATTTTCAAGAGCAAACTTCATCCCAAATCACTTGTAAGTTGATTTTTACTCAATTCTTTCAATCTTTAATATCATTAAACATGTTTTCCACTTGAAATCAAAGATTTTCATGGGTGAAATTGGGATTTTTGGGTAGAACCTAGGTTTTTTATAAATTGGGAAGTTGGACCTCGAATTGAGGTCCGATTTCAAAATAAATTATATATTTAAACTCGTGGGGGAATGGGTAACCAGATTTTGGTTCGAACCTCGAGTTTTGACCACGTGGGCCCGGGGGCGTTTTGGAAAATTTTGAGTAAAACTTTGGGAAAATCGTTTTATGCATTCAAACTAATTCATATAGTGTTTGCTAAAGTAATTGAGCAATTTGTGATTAGATTCGAGCGAATTGGAGGTGGAACCGCGAGGTAAAGCAATAGTTGAGGATTAAGTGGATTTCAAGGCTTTGAGTTAAGTGTTTGGTTTAACCCTAGCTTGAGGGAATAGGAGTTGAATCTTGTTGTTAATTGCTATGTGATCGAGTACGATGTATAGGCATGGTGACGAGTATCTATACATTGGTGTCTAGCATGACCGTGAGTCTTTATAATGTAATTATTGTGACTTGGTTGTGAACTCCGTGTCTATTGGAGGATTTCTAGTTGTTGTGAATAACATGTGAACGGTAATATGATCACTTGATTCCTGGGAGCATTGGCTCGGATTGTGATACGAATATTGAAAGTATACGAAATGACTTGATTCTTTGGAGTGTTGACTCAAAATAGTAGAGTGAATTTTAAGATAAGGAAAGTAAGAAAGAGAAAGCGTTGTTGATTATTCCCTTGTCGGGACGTTTGGTTGAACTTGTTGGATTCTTTCCCTTGCCGGGATGGTTGTCAAATATTTGTTTATTTATGCCCCTTGATTGTGACTGTTGTTTGGGAAGTCGGACTGTTAAATGATATTGAGGATCGGGTTGTGCGCCGCAACAATGATGTTGAGGATCGGGTTGCGCGCCGCAACAATAACATATGAGGATCAGGTTGCGCGCCGCAACAATGATAAATGATAAATAATGTGGATCGGGTTGCACGCTGCAACAGCAGTATTATGGAGCGGGTTGCACGCCGCAACATTTGTTGACATCATGTGTTTATGTCTGAATATTAATTTCGTGTTTCATTGTGGATTTCTAGGCTGTTTTAGTTGTTACTCTGGATTGTTATTATTGTATCTCCACATAGTATGTTTCCTCTCCCATGATGTTAATTACTTGGTATTCGATTTCCGCTGTATATATTTATAACTGCACAGGTTTATGTGGTGTCCAGTCTACCCTCGTCACTACTTCGCCGGGGTTAGGCTAGACACTTACCAGCACATAGGGTCGGTTGTGCTGATGCTACACTTCTGTGCAATTGTGCACAGGTCCAGGTTTTGAGAAACAGCAGTAGCAGTAGTTCGGAAGCTTATTAGACTTATGTTCTATATTGATGTTATAAACTGTTAAAGATAATTGCTAGTGATGGAAAGGTAAGTAAGTTGGCTTGCCTAGCTACCACGAGTAGGCGCCATCACGACTCCGATGGTGGGAAATCCGGGTCGTGACATAAATGTTCCAGTAAACTAATATAATAATAAAAAAAAAGTAAGAAAGAAATGGAAAAAACTAATGGACGAATCAAAAAACGAAAATTAAAAAACCACATTTTAAATTTCTAAATAACATGCTGAAGAGAAAAGTAAAAAACTGATAATGCGCTGAACTTTACAAGTTGTAATAAAGTCATAAAATTATTTTTTGAACTTTACTATTTGTACTCAGTATATATAAGTTACAAATTAACTATTCTTTTGTATCATTAATTGAAGTTTCTAAACTATATTCATATAAAACAATTGAACTATGTGTTTTTTAAAATAAATTAAAAAAATAGGACAAGTCGCCATTTCATTTAGGAAACCTGAAACTTGAAAAAGGTTGTTACTTTCACTCTCCAGTAATCAATCTGAAAAAGAAAAATAAATAAAACAACTGCAAAATATCAGGAAATGAATTTAGGAAAAAGAAAAAAAAAGCAATGCCGTTTAGTACTAGTAAGAATAGGATTTACATCAACCCATCAGCTTCATCTATAAATATAATACTTCCTAAAACCCTAGAAACGACTATCTCAGTATCACCATTTTAGGGTTTGCCACTAAAGTTCTTCATCCGTTCTCTCAGCTTGTTTCCTTTCTTTGTGCAATGGCAGTATACTCTGATTGTCAGGCTAAGGGACGTCCAATGGGTAATCGGTTTTACCCGACGGAAAGAGAAGTGTTGGAGTATTTACTAGGGTTTGTGAGAGACGAGCCTCTTCACGCACAGTATGAAGTCATGCTGATCTCTACGCCGACAAGTAGCCATGGCAGATATTCGAAGCATATGATCACGGGAATAACAACAATACTCGTTACTTCATAACTCCACAAAAGAAAGAGAAGCCAACGTGGAAAAGAGTTTCAAGAACTGTTGGGAAGGGCACTTGGAAGCCTCAAAATAAAGGCCGAGATGTGTTTGATTATAAAGGGAGACTCATGGGATACGTGAAAAGTTTGAAGTATATCCCCACTAACAAATCGTCAAACAACGTAAACGGCGAATGGTTGATGACTGAGTACTCTTTGTATGATCACTACCTGAATGCTAGGGAGATTAAGAACAATGGTTTCGTAATTTGTAAGATCAAGAAGAAGGAAAAACCTGGTGACAAGAAAAATGGAAATAATAATATTGATGAGGTAGTTAATGATCGTGATAATATGAGAGATATTGAAGAATTTATCAACAGCATGTTGCAAGAAGATGTTCAAGTTAAAGACAATGGAATAACGTCGAATGGTATAGCAAAGGATGATCAAGAGAATAATATTATCCAATATGTAGAGGGAGATCAAGTTAGAGACCATGTACTTGGTTTGTTGGATTCCCCAGAGGATATTGTTAAAGTGAATGATCATGAGGAGTATGTTGAAGATTGCGTAGATCAGGAAGATGAAGTCCAAGTCCATTTACTTGAAGAATATATTGATTCCGTTATGCAATCAGAAGATGTTCAAGCTGAAGACAATGGAATAATGTCGTCGAATGATGATATAGCAAAGGATGATCAAGAGAATATGGAATACCAAGTCAAAGACCATCAACATGCTACTTTGTGGACTTCCGCGGATGATGTCGATCTGGATACTATCAATTTCTATTAGTCAGAGAATATATTTGCTAGATAATGTAGTTTAATTATCCCATGCTAGCTCTTAGATAAAGTTACAAACCAGCCTGTACTACAATACTATGATTTATCAATATATTTTGAATTTTTCTTATGTTTCTGTTATAGTTTTTACTAGCTAGGGATATATGATCGACATATTAAAGATGGCTGTTGATAGTTTATGTAGCACTACTAAAACTTAATACTAGTGAAAGTTCTGCCAAAGTTTTTGCTGTTTCTGTTTTTCTCTCAGAGAGATAGTGCTCGCTTATTATATTTCGGCGTCGATTCCCTGTTTTAGCTGCCTAGTTGGAGTATTTAGTTTTCAAGATTATGTGTGCTAGCTCATTTTGGGAAGTAGTACTAGTATTAATTAATTATGGTCTAGTTAGCAGAAAGAGTGTTTGTTCAAGGAGTTGTAGTGTTTTAGAAAGTTTTACATTGGTGAAATCATCTAAAGATCCATAGAAAGATTTCAGGGAGTCAATGATAGTGGAGAATTATATGAGGGCATCAAAGGATTTGGAAGAACTTCTTGCTTTCTATTTTTCTTTGAATTCAGATGAGTATCATATGATCTCATCATCAGGGTGTTCAAGCAAATCGTGTTTGACATCACTGACATTATATTCTGCTAAAGTAAATTAAATACGAATCTATTAATTTCCTTTTCTCATAGTCATGATATGTGAAGTAGTATAATTTTCACAAAAACATAACACCAATATAATTAATGTTTTTTCTTTTTTAATAAGGATACTTAGATTAGAAATTAAGTAACATAACAGTTATAGTTATTACAAGCCAAGACTGTTCGAGCGTTCAAGTCTTCGTCCAGCTGATAAAGCTGATAAAGCAGAGGGAGGGGGAGAAGTAATATAAAGGATGCCATGGTTGTCGTCCAGCTGAGGGTGTGAGGTTCATCCCATGCTTAGCCAAGGCATCTACTACAACATTATATTAGCTTCTCGGTATACATGTCTAAGCTCCACACGATCCAGTTCCAGCATGAACTACCTGTGAATCAGTTTCCATTTGAAGCGGCCAGAGGCTAAAGTCTTTAGCTAACTGTAGGCCTAGCCGAAGTGCTATTAATTCAGCTTCAGTAGCAGAGAAGCAAGTTAAACTGGTTGTGAATCCCCGGATCCATTGATTGGTCGAGTTACGAAAAATTCCTACAGGCAGCTCCCGCTCTGTTAGTTGCTTGATTGAAGGCGCCGTCAATGTTAAGCTTGACAAAATTATTAGGCGGTGGGTATCATTTAATGTAAAGAGTGCACGTGTTGGCTTTAGGAGAACAAGCTGGTGAAAGAAAGAAAAATTCTATAAGATGACACATGATAACAATTACAGACAATTCCTTGTGGTAATTATGAAAAAGATTATGATTCCGTATAATCCAAATATACCAAAGGATGAAAGGAACCATTAACATGGCAGGGACCTCAATTCCTTGGTAGAAAAAGGGTCCTTGAATACGCAGACAGTGCAAGCAAAGCCATTCGTTGAAGTTGGGAGCAATAGTGTTTATATGGAAGAAAGTCCATATTGGTCGGACAATGTCAGAGTCTAAAAATAAGTGGGCTATGGTTTCAGGGGTATGAGCACACGATTTGCAATTAAGATCATGGAGAACATGCAAATTGTGAAGGTAGGCTGCTGTAGGAAGGCTTTGTGAATACCTTGAAATTAAACAACATTGCAGAAAACGTTTATATATTAACAAAAGGAATATTAAATCCAGACAATAAAATTTAATTACATATGAGGGTTGCCTTGGATATATATAAACAAATGGGAAAACTTTTTTTATAAAACATATCAGAAAAACTAAGATATTGGATCAAAATAGATAGAAAGGATCAATTGTAAGATATATAAGGGGAGAAATCAAGGGCACGTTCTTTTATGACTGTTGTTGTGGTTCCTCTGCATTTTCAGGCTCCTTATTATTATTCTCTTCTTCAGCTTCATTTTCCTCAGTGTCATTTACTGGTGTCACAGCAGCACTACTCTTCTTATTATTAGCAGCTTTGAGGACATGTTGGTAATTTCCTTTTTCCATGAAGAGCTGAGCAAAATGGTGTTTGCAATAGAGATTTCCATCAAGGGAAGCATATGTTGCATGGGTAAGTGGACACCCTCCATGTGCACACTTGAAACATGACTTGTGAAATGATTCTCCTTCCATTGTCACCTGTAAGATCGTTAAGAGTTTAAGTTTTATGCACCGTCAGTCAAGTTTCATGCATCGTTAGTCAGTTGTGGATAAGTTTGTTACATCGTTTAGGTTGGACTATAACAACATGTAATTCATCGTAGCAAAATTCTAATATGTCAACCTAGCAAATATAGTAATGGCATGCTATAATCAGTTAATAGTGTCAATAAGGTTCTTTATACTATCGATATATGTAAGTTAAGTTAATTCATTTATAACATATAAACTCCGCCTATTTGAGTAAAGCATAGCCATTCCAGTTAGTTCGAATAAAGAAAGAGGGTCGCGATAGGTTGATGGCCAAAATAGTCTAATGATGTTTGAATTGAGGATTGTTGATTAATTGAGTCATTCACTAATGTCATAAACCTTTTATTTAAGCAAAAAATGATTGTTTTATACCTTTTCAAGTGGATAAACAGTTTTGTCGCAAGCAGCACATTTATCTTGGGTCCCAGAGAACATAGCAGATAGTTTGCTTGGAGCCCTTGTCTGCACAAAATAAAAACAAATTAAATTATTAGCTAAGAATGTTAAAGAAACAACTATTAAAAGAGAATATTAATTTTTTAATTTAATTTCCATGCTAGAAAAATATTGTATTCTTTTCTTAACAAACACAAGAAAAGAAGAAAATTAACGGTGGTATAGAAAAGTTAAACGGATGATGTAGAAATATGAAGTTGTGAAATATAAACAAAACATACCAGTGAATTTTGCCTCTCAGCCTTAGCTGCTCAAATGTTAATTAAAACAATGTAGATGATTAGTAGAAATGAAGATAAAATAGACTTAGGAAAAATATACTAAATTAATTAAAATGGATTTCTTACAATTCTGAAAATTCTTGGTAAAGTTTCCAGATTCCTTAAAAAGCTGTTCGAAATGAGCCTTGCAGTAGAGGACTCCTTCCATGGAAGAGTAGTTGCTCATCTGCCAATAAAATGCCATTTTATCAAATCTATCATAAGTGTAACAGAAGTAAGAAACACAAAAACAATGGGGGACATTGATTTATAAATTCTTAATAATCAACTGACTATTATTCAATATTTTAACAGCTTAATATCTAGTAAAGCCAAAACGTAATTGCATTCAAGATTTTCGCCCTTCAAGATCTTAAGAATCCCACATAAAAACAGAAGTTGAGATCTAGAGATGAAAATGTGTTTTTCTTCTTCTTGTTTTATACGAGTTTTGTCAAGTATATATAGCTGGTTCAAAGCCTGGACCGTTATAATTACGGCCACCATTCCTCAGGGCTTGGATCAATTGCTCTTTGTTATCAGGTCACCAACTTCCTTTAACTTATTAGCATTAGACAGGCATCCGCGGTCCTCATACATCGTCTTATAACTTTACTATTGCAAGAATATATCAATCGACGAGTTATGTCTTAGCTGCTTTGCGTATTATGCATATTGTCCAAATGGGGCATGCATCAAGGTTATAGGTGAGTGATAAGCGTAGAAGGCGCGCCCAGAGGCAAAGCTAGGAATTTTTCCAAGAGTATTCAGATTTGAAAGAAGTGAAAAAAAAAATTCCGACAAAGGGTGTTCAATATGTGTTATATACCTCTAAAACGTAATATTTTACCTATATATACATGGGAATTTTTTAATTAAAGGGTGGTCAATTGAACACTCTTGTGACCCGCCACTGCGCGTGCCTACAGGGCAGTAAGTCTGGTTAAGAAAAGACTAGTTATGACAGATCCTCCGAATACATATGCAGAATTTGTACAACTAACCTTAGATATTATTAAGATTGCGGTATAGTTGATTGATTGATTCGGGCAAATAGAGGATGAGGAACAAGAAAAGGGAAAGAAAATAGAGAAAAAAACAGTTAATATGAAAAAAGAAAACATACCACAAGAGTGCCTTTGCAATGGCTACATTTGAAGCAGGATTTATGATAAGTAACACCATCCGCAGACAACAAATCAACAAAATAAACAGTCTTATCACAAGCTGAGCATTTATCCAAAGTTCCTGTGAATGCCATTTTTATCTTTTATTTACTTTTTTTCTCCTTATTATTATTATTATTATTTACAGAAGCCTGAAAACCTTCAATCTCAATAACTAGTCAGAGTTAGAAATATGGCAGAGAAAAAGTACTTTTATCAACAAAGCTCTTCTGCCCTCTTATATCTAACCTGCTTTGTTATTGAGATCAAACAAACAAAAAAGGCACCCTCTCTATCTCAGCTTGTAATAGAGAATTTGCTATCTTTTTCATGTGGAAAAATTATTAGTACGTACTAGAATTCTGCTATTACACCGTTAACTTAATGACACGTGATTGGGAGATCCAAATATTAGGAGCTGAAAATAAATTTCTTTGCCTCTCAAATATGGTGGATGACATTATCTTGGATTTGAGTGAAATTAGGCTCTTCTTTGACTCTTTCTCATCACAAGCTTGTATTATTTCTTGGTAGTTTAGTTAAACTTGTTTTATCTTTGCTTTTTCTTAACCTTATAGTTATAATATTTTTATTACTATACTTTTTCCTTGAAAATTTGATGTTCATTAGACCTTTGCCTAATGCTGTATGGTGGGCCGGGCTGGGACCGGGACCGGATCGGGCCCGCGGTCTTAACGGGCTAAACGGTCCTGGCGAGCCGGTCCTGGTGGGCCGGTCTCCAATGGTGCAGGAGGCCCGTGGCGGGCCGGTTCACTTCTATAAGCCCACGAGCCCGGGACCGGCAGGCGGGCCTGGGCCGGTTCAACCGGGCCTAACGGGCTCCAACGGTTATTTTTTTACGGTCAGATTTTTAAAATCTAGCCGTTGACCTTCATAATTTATCCGTTGGTCACTTTAAAAAATAGCCATTTGGCCCCCAAACTTTATATAATTACACTTTTTCCCAATTCTCAACTATAAATACCCCCTCATTCTTTCATTTTTACTCACCAATTCATCAATCTCTCTCAATCTCTCTCAATCTATATCTAATTTCTCTTCTATAATTGTTTATTTTATTATTGCAATTTCGTGAAAAATTGTGAAGTTGGTGAATTGAAGTATTCAAGTCTTCAAGTCTTCAACGATTTTCAATTTTCAAGAAGTTGTTCGGCAATTCGGTAAACTCGTTCCAACTCTTAAGTTTTAAGAATATATTTTTGTGTATTTTAGTTTGCATAATTGTAATTAATATGGCATTTTCTTTGAAAAAAATGTTTGGTGGTAAGGGAAAAGCTAAAATTGGTGAAAGTAGTCGCCAACCTACTACCGTTCCCCCGGCTCCCCGACCCAGACCTGTTACCCGTCCTGCTGCTCCTATTATTCTTGATAGTGATAACCCTTGTTTTTAATTTTTCGATAGTGAATTTTGCCATAATGTTGCACCAGGTCAAAGATTAAATGAAGAAGTTATGAATGCTCTTTATCCTAATAAAACTATCTTAGAAAATGATGAGAAAAATGAGGATGTAGATGAAATCCAACCCGATTTAGATGATACACCTACTAATCCTGTTAATAACCCAACTGATGCACCGGCCGACCCACCTGTAGAAACCCCTACTTTTAATAGACAACCTTCTAAACGCCTAGAAACATCATTAGTTTGAAACTTTTTTACTCAAGTAAGAGAACAAAATAAGGCTAAGTGTAACAATTGTGGGAAATTGCTGGCGCATAAATATACTGGAGACTGTAGCGGCACGGGTAGTTTGGCTAGGCACATACAAACACACCCTAGAGATAAAGTTAGATATTTACAAATGAAAGCGAAGCTAGAGGGGACAAGTATAGATACTGCGGTTAACCCTAGTACAGGTTCAAATCTAGTTCAACCAGGAATTAACACTGTGACCGGAGGTATTTTATATTACGATCCAAATAAAGATCGTGAAGAATTAGCAAAGATGGTTACCGTTATGTGCTTACCCTATACTTTTCCTTCTAATCCTAATTTTGTGCATTATATTAGAAAAGTTTTTAATCCTACTTATAAAGGTTGGCCTCGCGCAACAGTTAAGAGCGATATTTATAAATATAAACATGAATATGAACAATATTTGCGGTATTTATTTACTCATATAACTAATCGGATTTCTATTACTACTGATATTGGTAGAAGTAATAATGACTGTGATTATCTAACTGTTAGAAGTCATTGGATAGATGAGGAGGTGGATAATGCAAAAACGCATTATTGCATATAGAATAATTAATTCACGTCACACAGGTAAGTTTATTGCTAACACTGTTGCAGATATTTTGTAGATATTTCTGCATTAGAGATAAAATAATGGCAATTTCTATGGATAATGCTTCTAGTAACACTAGTGCTATAGGCATACTTACAACAACACTAAATCCTGCATTTAGTAATATATTCCATGTGAGATGTATTTGTCATATTTATCATTTAATTGTCGGTGATGGTATGCGAATTTTAAATTTAGAAATTGAAAAGGTTAGAATGGCTCTTAATTGGCTTTTTTATTCAAACCGTAGAAGTAGACTTAGAGAGTATTTTAAAAAATGTGATGAATATGGCCTTAGAGAAAGAAAGGTTCCTAAACCTTGTCCGACTAGATGAATTATATGTACGAAAGTTTAGTAGTTGCATATGAATATAGAAACCCAATTAATGCAACGTTTAATGCTCGTGTTGGTGGTGAGGATGATGATGAAATCCTTACAAATCAAGATTGGACGAATGTTAAAATTCTTATAGATTTTTTAGAACATTTTCAAATTGCTACAAATGCATTTTCTGGGCAATAGTATCCTACTATTTCAAATTGTTTAGTTTATATTGCAGCACTATGTGATTTGTTTGTTGAATTTCGGAGGGTGGGAAAATTTATAAACTTGCTATAAATGCAATGAAAGAAAAGTTTAAAAAATATTTTTTCCCTATCCCCCCTATTTATGGTGTTGCTGCAATGTTAAATCCTACAATGAAATTAGGAGGTCCTCACTTTTGGTACTCAAATATTTATAAGGCTTTAGATCTTTCAAATGAGGAATTTTCTACACTTGCAGATGCAAAAGCCTCAATTAAAATTAATGCTCAAACAATTTATAATGCTTATCAACTTGCCTTAGATCATGCTAGGCCAAATGTTCCAACCCCTACTTCATCTAGTTCACAATTGTCTAAAAGAGCTGCGGGCTTAAAAGCACTTAAATCTTGGACGGAGTTCAGGGGTTCTCAAGGTGATAATTATGATGAAACTTCACATCTAAATGAGCTTCAAGTTTATTTGTCGCAGGGACTTGAAAAGGAGAATCCAGACGGCACTTTTGATCTTTTAGAATGGTGGAAGGCAAGGGAAAAACATTTTCCGGTTCTTGCAAGGATGGCTCGGGATATTTTAGCTATTCAAGCTTCAACTGTTGCATCAGAGAGCGCTTTCAGTCAAGAAAGACTTCAAATAGGTGATCATAGAGCGTCTATGAGGGAGAGCTTGGAAAAATCAGTACTGTTCAGAGATTGGATCCACTCGGAAAGAAGAAACTTTGGACTTGCGGAATCACAACCGGAGATAGATGAAGCTTATGAAGAAATGATAGCGGAACTTGCGGAGGATGCTGCTTCGCCCGGAAGTGGTGATGAACAAGCTTCTTTTCCACCTCCACCAACGGAACCTCCTCCGAACCTTGAAGGATTTATGAGATTTGTTAGAGATACAATGTAGATTATGGTGTAACTTGTACTTTGGTACATCTTCTTTAGTTTTTTCTCTTTTTAATGGTGGTATTAGTACCTTGTTGTGCTCATTCCATTGGGGGGAAGAAGACTAAGAAAGATATGCCATTTTTGGTAATAAAAATTATAAGACATGCCCTTGAATATCTCTTTGCAATATTTTTTTGTCTTTAACTTGCAATTATTTATAAGCTATAATATATATACATAACATACAATATATACTAAAAGAAAATATATAAGGGAATATATATACATAACATACAATATATACTACAAGAAAATATATAAGGGAATATATATACATAACATACTATATATAGTATACTATAATATATAAGGGAATATATATACATAACATACAATATATATACTACAAGAAAATATATAAGGGAATATATATACATAACATACTATATATAGTATACTATACTAGTATACTATATATATTATATATACTTGAAGAAGTAGTACTATATATACTACAAAACAAGATTTTTTCAAAACGAGGGCCCCACCCCCAATGACCACCAACGGTCATATTGCACAAATAGCTTTTTTTTTTATCAATTTACAAACTAACCTTCTCTAACACTATAAATACCCCCCTCCCTCTTCTTTATTTCGATACTCAATACTCATTTCTCAATCTAAATTTCTCTCAATCTCTCAATCTCCAATTTTCAAGACTTCAAGTCTCAATCTCAATTTTCAAGTTAAATCATGCCTCGTTCGGAACGAGTGCGCTTATTTGTTTCGCAATACTATGAAGTGCTTGAAGAAAATGAAGAAGGCCAAATATTAAAGTGCAAGAACTGTGGAAGAGTCTTAAATTTTCGTTCAGGGTGTACCACAGGCATTTTAAGGAGGCATATAAAGTATTGTGTTGAGGGTATTTATCCGCAAATTCGTCTTTAAGATTTTTCAACAATTTGTGTTATTTTAAAATTATTAGACGTATTTATGCTTCATGTTGTACTTTGTTATTAATTTATTATGCATGCCAATTTAGTTTTACTATTGTTTTGTTATTTTACTTTTTCGTCAAACACTTTAATAATTAGATTTCTATATTATATATACTACATATATTTATATAGCCATGTATAAGAGCAATTTATATATATACATACATATATGGTTTACAAGAAATTGCCTTAAACAAAAAAAATTTTAAAAAAAAGCCCGGAAATAAAAAAGCCCGTTAGGCCCGCTAAGCCCACGAGCCCGACCCATTTAGCCCAGGACCATATGGGCTTAGGCCCGTCACGGGCTGGTCCTACCCGTTGAGCCCACGAAGCCTGGGACCGTGAAGCCCGGGACCGCCGGAGCCCGAACCGCTAAGCCCAGGCCCGTTTAGCCCATTTAGGCCCGGGCCCGGACCACCATACAACATTACCGGTGATACAAGGATATGCCACCGGAAACGACAGGGGAGTTNCCCGTCATGGGCTGGTTCCACCCGTTGAGCCCACGAAGCCCGGGACCGCCAGAGCCCGGGACCGCTAAGCCCAGGCCCGTTTAGCCCATTTAGGCCCGGGCCCGGACCACCATAC